CACTCTCTCTCTCTCTCTCTCTCTCTCTCTCTCTCTCTATAGGACTGCAACAGAGCTCGATCGACAATAGTTGGCATGGCAATCTCTCTCTACAGTAGAAAAGTAAATGCTCGGGAGATCAATATTTACCTCTCTATCAGCCTAACAACCCCCCGCAAATCATTTGAATTTTGCAAATATCCAGCAGATAGCACATAGAATTTAGAAACATGAACATTCATTTCATTTGCAGCCAAATGAGAAATGACATAATTGCAACTATTTTCATTCTCCTCTTTTCGGAACAAATACGGCTGAAGAAACAACATATGAAATACTTTATTAACAGTTTCAAAAAAAAAAAACTTATTAACAGTTAAAAAAAAAAGAAGACATGAAGTATATACAATTACACATCATAATCACAAACTATGAGCCTCTTATTTATCACCTCCATCAAAATGCAAAGACTGCAAATCAAGGTGGGGAAGAGGGGGCATTTGGATATTAGGAAGTGGAGGACTTTCAGTGGCTATTTCAACCTCACGAACAGCTCCCCTGAAAGAAGAAGTGATTAGGTTCCCTACTGATTTTAATGGGTTACTCAGCTTGTCCTTCACAGTGAGAAAGAGGGAGACCTCTGACAACCTCCATATAACCGATCCCACGATCATAATGGAAAGCAACCAGTGGGTAATAGAGTTCTGCCTCTTCACTATTTTAAGCTCTGCTAATACCTCTGCCACATCTGCTTCCAAGGTTCTCAGATCCTTTACATGGGCTTCTTGAGGACCCAATTCTTCTATATCTGAATCCTTTGAATCCTTTACTATGGATGACCCATCAAGTTCCTTAGCAGCCGTCAATGCTTCTAACTGTAATATGGCTATAGGAACTTAGTACACAAAAGTACTAGAAGACTACACAATTTCTAAAAGGCATCATCTATAGTGAGACCGTTATCATTTGCGTACAAATCTTATAACATCCCAAGCCACCAGATGTAAAATCGGATGGGTGGGGTGAGTCTTTCTCTTGCACAATACCCAAGAAATTATTTCTAATGCCTTAAGTGCAGTTAATGGCACATCCCCGTCCATCCAATCTCACATCTTATTGCTAGAGGTGATTGTGATTTGTGACCTTTTTGTTCCAAGGCAAACAATCATATTATATACGTTCCTTTTATAAATTCTAAATTAGATATTTATCTAAACAAGGACATACGTGAACTGATGGAGCTAGGGAAAAGAGCCATGGCTTAATTGGTTAGCGCTTGACAATTTGCAACGCTACATCCTAGGCTCAATTCCTACAAAGGATAGGGGCCTTCTCCCCACTGACTCACCCAAAAAAAAAAAAAAAAGAAAAAAGAAAAATGGGAATCGTAACTTTCTCAATTTGAGAAACATTGTCAAGAAAGTGACATAAATAAACAATCAACACAAACTACTGCAACAAAATTAAATGGCAGAAAGGAAGCATAGAACACAAATGCTAGTGTAATAGTTGCATGATTCAAGAACCAGTATCATGAAGGGACAACATCTTAATTTTAATAGCTACCCCAGCAAAACTTGATGTAGTCAAGGAATAAGGGTTCTCTTTTTTCGTTTTCTTAAGACATTTGTGTCTTTCGTCATTTTATAAATTTTAGGGGCATTTTTGTCATGGCCAATGTTTGGCAAGATGAGGGGTTAGGTTTTAATAGTGATTAGGTTTCTTGAGAGTCAAGTTAGCCACTAAGATTTTTCTTCTTATAACTATATTTATTGTGTTTTGTGAAAGAAAGAGTGGAAAAATTAGTTTTGGGACTACAAAAGGATTTCTTTTAGGGCGGACACCCCTAAAGACCGAGTGAGAGGGTATATTTGTAGACTCTTTTAAGGGAATATTCTCCCATCTTTATTTATTTTTGGTTTAATTTATTTTCCTTTTCCCTCTTTGAGAGGTATTGAAGCTTCAGGAGATTCATTCGTAGTAATGTTGCCAAAGCTGACTCTGCAGATCGAGAATATACTGCCACAGATCATGAAGGTTGTGAATCAACAAATCAAAGAGTGCACAAATCAAGTTCACTTATGACGGATCTTAAGAGCAGAAAAGAAAAAAAAAAGATCTAACTTGACTCTCAAGGAAGCTAATCACTATCCAATCCCAACTCTTCATTAGCTATCACAAAAACGCCTTGGAAATCTCTGCAATGACAAAAGACAAAAGTACCCTTAAGAAAGGAAAAATAAAACTCTAATTCCTTGACTACATTAGAAGAGACAAAAATGCCATTTGGGAAAATGATTTAATAAAAAAATCATTACTTAAAACAAACAATTTTTTGAGGCTTCTACTACCATTTATTAGCGCTCCAATAAAACAGAGAAACGATAGGCTATAAAATGATGAGGTGCATACTTATATGATAGTGAAGAAATTTAGAAGAGAAATCAACAATGAATAGTAAGAAAAAAAAATGGAATAGGAAATATTGCCTACGGTCAAACCCAATGTAAAACACGACCTAATGAACATCAAATATCTAGAATGGCTAAGGACATAAGATTACCTGGTATCCTGAGAGAATAATGGAATTATATTGGAGAATTAGAACACCTAGTAAGAACACCTAGCCATGACATGCATTTTCTTTTTCTCCTTGGTTCTCATAAGTCAAGAGACTCGAGATTCGGAGCTATAATAAATAACAATCAGAGGAATGAAGAATAGCAATGGATTATGACTAAGAATTAATGACCAGGAAGAAAATAAGTAAAACTAGTTAACTGCAGCCTATAGGTAGAGAGGCCATACATGATATGTGGATTTACCCCAAGGCAAAAGGATCCAATTACTAATAAACTTCTACTCCAAGTGCAAATTCATCCACGATACAATTAGTAATTGCAATTGCAACACATGGTGATTGCAAGAAATCCAGCTGAATGTCAAGAGAACATTCTAAATGAAGATCTAGAAATAGAATACAGTTGGTGGAACCTAAGGTCTATGATAGAAGGTTAATGAAGTAAAAGTGTGTAAAATAAATAAATAAAAATGTAGAAGACATACTTCTAAACAATGGTATCTCAAGTCATTGAATACAATAGAATGTTTCAAGTTCAAAGAAACAAACAAATAACCAACTGAGGACTAATAGGAAATATTCAGAGGATAGGAAGAACATTTGCACAAGATTGGTATTATATGTGTACAATAATACCATCTATGGAATTAATATGGAAATCATATATGTTAATGTTTCACTGATCTCAAATGTCATAATAGGAAATATTCAGAGGATAGGAAGAACATTTGCACAAGATTGGTATTATATGTGTACAATAATACCATCTATGGAATTAATATGGAAATCATATATGTTAATGTTTCACTGATCTCAAATGTCATATATGGAATTAATATGGAAATCATATATGTTAATGTTTCACTGATCTCAAATGTTGATACGAAAGATGTTGAAGAAATTTCTAAAGAATGTGTCTAAGAGAACTTTATTTCTTAATCACAATTATGCCAAGGAATTTCAGATAAAATTCTATAAGACTTAGCCAACACAAATTAATAGAAGACAAAATCTTTATTACTTGAAAACAGTTTGGAAAGTAGTGGTTCTTCTATTTGAGAGTGTCAGACTTTCAAAGACAATTTTCAAATCCCAACTAAAAGAACCACATGAAGGAAATCATGATTCAATTAATGTCCCGATGAATGCCGAAAATACAAATTGCTGCATTGGATCAATATAAGGTTTAGGTTTGTGTTGGTCATAAAATCAAAGAATAAAGAAAGATCCCTCTCATCTCCCACCATAAAAAATGTACCAGACTTTCAAGTAGATCAACTGAAAGAGGTAAGTTTTTATCAATCGTCAATGACTTTTACACGTCCTCCAAGATCTCAAATTCGCATATCTTTTTACTGATAGTTAACACGACACACATGAACTATTTATTCATATGGTACATGATGAAATCAATTCCTTTCTTTTCTCTTTTAAAACATTATTGAGGAGAGTTTCACAAAGCAGTTAAGCAAGTAGCAGAGCACAATGTGTAGTTAGTAAGAAATTGTTATCCTTCAACAGTTCCATTTAAAAAAAAAAACACCCGGAAATTTGTTTTATCTATTATTTATGAAGAAGACAAGGAATAAAAAAGTAGTCCACTAAGGTGTCTGCAAACACTTGGCACAGGACAGGGGAAAAGAGCATCAATAAATTAATGTTGCAGAAATAATGTTCTATCATGAGCACATCGCGTTATTTCAAGCATAAAGATAAAAGTTAGTTACAAAGAACAAAAGAACTGATGATTTTAATTCAAAGTTTCAAGAGAATTTTGTTGTGATCATCTAAAATAACTGCCCAAAATGCAAATTTGACCATCCCAGCTTGCCTAATCCCATATATAGTAGTTAAAAACTGATTATAAAAAACACCCAACAAAATAAAACTCAATTTTGATGAGGTTTAATCACATTCAAGCAACTCACAAAAACAGAGTGATACTTCCAATAAGAATCTATAGCTTAGTCTGGGTAAAACACAGTCCTAGAATCCCAAAAA